CAGAACAGGCTTAGAGAAGTAAAATCACGTGCTTACACGTTTAGGATGTCTTCCCGGAGAATATAACTGTGAAGCAGATGATAGTGTAAGATCAACTCAGCATTTACCCAGGAAAGCTCCAACTTCCATAAAGGTCAGCCTGAAAGACAGGACTGAATAGCTAGAAAAGAAGGGGCAGTCAAGAAAGTGACAACTTCTACAGAATGGATCAGCAGCATAGTAGCAGTGAAACAACCTGGAAAGCTGAGAATAGTCACTAACCCATAGAACTGAACTAAAGTTCTGAAGAGACCTCACTACACCTTGCCCATTATTGAAGGAATTTCACCACGGCTTTCTCGGTAAAAGTCTTGACAATCCTAGAAGTGAAGAATGGTTACTGGCAAGTGAAGCTGGCTGAAAGCAGCAGCTTTCTAACTACATTCTGGACAATGGTCAAGAGATAGATAGTTGTACTTACCATTTGGCATTTCCATGACTCCAGAAAAGTGTTAACCATCTGAAAGCTTGTGGGTGCAGAGACACTGTTTCTGACAATGATCAACAGTGCAATTAACAATGTCTGAAGTTGAATACATACATCATGTACTGAGAGCAAAAGGTCTTCACTCAGATCCTGGAAAAGTGAGAGTTTCAGTGGTGCAGCAACCAACAGACTTAAAAGTAGGGCAATGATTTGTTAGTTTTATCAACTACTTCACAAAATTCTTGCCCAATTTGTCATCAGATTGTGAACCATTATATCAACTCTGCAAAGAATACATAGTGGTATTAGGGCACAGAAGATGAGCAACAATCACAGAAATCAAGCAACTAATGTTTGCAACATCAGTGCTGAAATACTCCACCATTAATGATAAGATCACCCTTCAGTGTGGCACCGGCAAGTCAGGAGCTAGAACAATCCTAATACAACAACAACTTGTATTAATGTAATTAGACCATGAATGCAAATGGAATGACTCTGCTCAGAGCGAGAAAGAGTGCCTGGCCATTGAGTTTGCTTGTGAAAATTTTCATTGATATCTTCTTAGAAGGGATAAAGTTTAGTCCAACCACAGACTACTTCAAAGCTTTGTCCTCAAATCACTACTATCTGTTCCAAAATATCTGCAAAAAAAATTACTCTGGTTACAGAGATACTATGTGGCCATGACATGCAAGCAAGGGAAACAATGTCGATTGTTGGCATGCTATTAAGAGTGACACTCCAAGTAAAGAAAGTAGAGGATGCAATGTGCGAAATCTTCCAGACCAAACTTAATGCAGCAGCTCTAAAGCGATCAACCCAGCACAAATCTGACGACAAATGCCTTGCTCAAATCAAGTGAGTTACCCAGCAAGATGAAACTCTCTCAAGGTTGCAAGGAGGAGTGATGAAATGATGGTCACAAGAGAGTACTGCATGTTTAAAGATGAATTGACAACCCAAGATGGCATATTATACATAGAAAACAGTGTCATTATCCCTAAACAGTTGAAAGGAGAGATAGTAAAGTAAATCCATGCAGGCCACCGAGGAATAGAGTTGAGTCTAAGGAAGGCAAGAGAAGTGCTCGACTAGTCAAACATGAGAAATGGAATCTAGAACAAAATCACTCAGTGAAGTGTTTGTAATGAGTATCAATATAAGCAAGTTAGAGAGCTACTGAACATTACATCCCAGACGGATCATGGATGACACTACAGGACCTTTCCATTCTCAAAAGAACTTGTCTGGTCAGTGCAGACCACTATTAGAATCATACGGCATAACGTTACAGAGGTCTGAGTGATGCCGGCTATGTTGAGATGTGTGGCTGTCTCATTCGATTCTTTCAGCAAGGTCCAGCTCAATATAAGAATATTTTGTGCCATATATTGTGCTTTTCACAGGCGTATGGCGAGATTCTTGCTAGGCAGTGGTGAGTTACCAATTGATGGGGATTAACACCTTGTTGAACATTTTGTTATCAGCCCACCTTGCCTCATTAATATTCTGCTTGCAATCTTACCAAACTCAACCGACAAACGAGACATCATATAAACCTGCAGGGTACATGGTGAAATCATCCTGCTGCTTGCTCGGATGGTTTGATGTCAGGGCATTCTCCGTAAGAACTGGCCACATGCACCCCAAATTCACGGACATTGGCATCTGCCACGCGCCAGCCTCTAAGAACCTTTACAGCACCGCTCGGAGACATTGATAGGATGCACTTGCACTTAAATGTAGCACTTTGTGTCACAACGGCAACTATTATTGCAATGCTGTAGCAAGGACATTGTGCGTTCAGGGACACATATCTAGCTCAGGGACTGGGTCAGACTGCATCTTGAGGCTCTTTGTTTGCTGTCATTGCAGACTCTGATTCCGATTTTGCTTACAGCAACCCTTGCCTTGCCTTAGCTAGAATACCAGGTTCATATTACAACTGTGTAAAATGAGTGCTGACACAATCGAATGAAGCTTGTCATGGTGTTAGTAGGCCTGTCAAGTCAAAGAGGATAAACCAGCCTCAGATACCTTCAAGGGGCTTGGACATGGTCAGTCAGCTGATCAAGATTTTCTCCTCATAAAGGGGTGAAGAGCTGAATGTCGGGCAGCCCACAAGCTGTCTTGACTCTTTCTGCCACATTGTGGGCTATTTTCCTCTGAGTGAGCTCTCCATTGTCAATATATTAGTTAAAAGGTCTGAAAATGAGTTCTTAACAGCTATCTACCTGAATCCAACATTCATTGGTCAATATAAACGTGGGATTCCTACAATCCTCCAAGATCAATCTTCTTGACAACAACATGAATAGATCCCTAGCCACCAGCTCACCATGTAAGCTTGACACTGGCATATCAAAACTATGCTGTGTGATAATGAGTACCCTGTTCAAATCATCACTCATTGTACATAGTAAAAACCCACGATAGGCCCTATGTACGTTCTTTTGCCCCTGGGTGTCTCAAACATTTGAACAACTGGTGAAGCTAGCTATCTCCAGCTACTACAATACAGTAAATCCCCATGAGTAATTTACTCCACTGGTGGGTTGCTGCCATCAAGCCTAAAAGACATTTTGCCCACCACACAAATCAGTAACGTGATACACGAGTGCCACTTCCAGTATGTAGGCCATACATCCAAATGATTGGAGGACTGTATCAAATGACATGTCCCGTTGATCATTCGCAGCTGGCAGCAGGCCACTTGTGCTGAACCATCCCATGCCGGCAAGTCTCAGAAACTTTCATGCACCATTAGATGTGATTCTGCTATTGAAAATTATTTATTAAATAATCTGGACCATGCTAAAAGTTACACTGGAAACGAATTTAAGATCATCACCCTGGCCATCACTATGATACATTTATGCACACTAGGAGCTACTTACATAAATACTCAAGACCCTATAATGTGTAGGCAAAAGGAATTTGTACATACATTGTATGCTTTCCAAAGAAAAAGATATTGAAGACAGCCAATCACTGCTGCACCTCATTGCAGTGCCTTGACCAACAAGAATGTGCTTGCTTGCTCAGAGTTAAGATTGACAGTTAACTGTTTTGCAGCACCTCCATGCCAATGATTACCCAACCAATCAGCACCCTCTTCTCATAATGTAAAAAAGTGTATTTTTTTCCCCCCAAGTCTATTTCTTGCATCCTAGTTCTGATGAATGCAAAATGTAAACTTTTAGTCTTCTGTAGCAATGCTTAGAATACCTAAAAACAGTTCTGTCACTACAGCATTCCAGAAATTATGATGAGTGACAATGTCCCTCAGTTCACAAGTGAAGGATTCAGGTGCATCATAAAGTATCGGGAAATTCAACACTATACATCACCTCCAGTAAAAGCAGTGAAGAATCACCAAATGAATCACACAGTAACAGAACAAATCCAGCACAAGCCAATCCTCGATTGGAGAAATGCACCTACTTGAAGGCATGGACATTTATTCAGTTCAAAGACTAATATCACACCACATCCAAACTACTCTTTGAATAGCAAAAAGCTATTGAAACCTTAAGCAATAACAGGCATGAGTGGCAAAAGCAATATGAAATGGCAGAAAGTCAACCATTGTTAGGGTTGAGCACTAACAGACAGCATCTTGATCATATATGATGGAAGTGAATGATCATAGGGATTGTCACAACTATGGGCACACATAGATACAACTGGAGAAACAGGAAGATGTTAACTCACTGTCTGCGCAGTCCTAAAAGTCCACACTTCCCCAACTATCACTCCCAGAGGTCCACACCTCCCCAACAATAGAAATATCACAGACTGTGGCAACAGTCACTTGGGATTAAAACGCTAGGTGAAAGAATGTTACAAAGATGAACAGGCAACATGGTGTGTATGCCATTAAGAGACCAGGACAATTTAAAAACTACATATACAATGCGTCTTCAGAGAGGGATGAGAACTGCTAATGCACGAGTGTGCATAGCAGGTAATTTGGGTAATTCACAATGTAAATGATAATGCATGCAAATATTTTTGAGTGAAAAGAGGGAATGGATTTTTGGAATAGAAATGCTAACATGACTTCTGGCTTGCCATAGTCAAGTGTCATCTACCATATGACACTCTGCAGACATTCATCTCATAGCAAATTCCACAATAAACCTGGGTGTTATCCCTGGAGCAGCTAACAACTTCCACTGGCAGTTTGTTCAATTGGGATCATCCCTGTCCCAGTCATAACTTTTCACAATCTGTACTAAGCAGTCCAACTCCAGGATTCGGGAGAAAGCAGATTCTGGGAATCTGAACTAAAATCAAATGAATGTGTAAACATTCAACAGGGTTCAGCATCATCTATGGAGAGTGAAGGTTTCAGATGTGTGACCTTTCACCAGAGCTGGGTCTGAGAGAAGGGGCTGCGAGGCCTGGGACCGGGAGGGCGGCGGAAGGCCCGGTCTCTCTGGGTCGGCGGTTCCGAGGATGGGGATGGGGTTTGCCGGTGCCGGGGTAGACGGTTAGCGGGGAAAAGCGCAGGCCCGGTCCGGTTCAATCCGGTCCGGCCCGGAGGAAGTGACGGCACCGTGCGGTATACGGGGTTTCCCGGGGGCGTGTGTCGGACTCGGGACTCGGTGAAAACGGTAACTGGCGGCTCCGGAAAAGATTGGTTTAGGAGTTGTCTCTGGGTGGGGGTGGTGTGGGGAAGGGGATGGTCGGTGATGCTGGAGCCTCTCTCTCACGGGGACTGGGTTCCCGGAGGCTCAGCTTGGGCCGAGGAGTGAGGAGCAGCCGGTGGGTCCTCACACTGACTTCAGCACGGGGAGGGCGGGGCGATGGACACAGAGAGAGAGCCGGAAAAACTCATCAAACTCCAAACATTACTGTTTCTCTCTCTGTACATCCTACCAGACCTGCTGAGTTTCTCCAACAATTTCTCTGCTTGTTTCACATTTGCAACATCCGCAGCATTTTGCTTTTATTTTCTCGGAACCGAGTCCGCAACCCGGCTTTTCCCCGCAATACCCTCCCCATTAAACTCCCGTCCCCTCCATTAAACTCCCCTCCCCATTACTCCTGCTCCCTATCCTTCTCTCCCTCACTCCCCCAAGTCCCCATACAGTCATACAGCAGGGAAACAGACTCTTCGGCCCAACCAGTCCATGCTGGTCATAATCCCAAACTAAACTAGTCCCACCTACCTGCGTTTGGTCCATATCCTTCTAACCCTTTCCTATTCACGTACTTATCTGAACGTAGTAACCCACATCCACCGAAGGGCTTCCTTTGGAAGTTCATTCCACACATCAGCCACTCCCTGCATGAAAAACAGTTGCCCTTCATGTCTTTTCTAAATCTTTCTCCATTCACCTTAAAAATATGCCCCATTGTCTTGAAATCCCCCACTATAGGGAAAATGCACTTGCCATTCATCTTATCTCTACCCCCTCATGATTTTATACACCTGTATAAGGTCACCCCTAAACCTATGCTCCAGTGAAAAAAAGTCCCAGCCTATTCAGCCGATTGTTATAACTCAAACACTCTATTCCCATCCCCATCCCTGTCATCCTAGTAAATTTCTTCTGATTCTTCTCCAGTTTAATAATACCCTTCCTATAATAGGATGGACCAGAAATGGACACAGTACTCCTGAAGAGGCCCTACCAACATCTTGTGAAACCTCAACGTAACGTCCCAACTCCTATACTCAAATGTCTGAGCAATGAAGGCAAGCGTGCTAAACATAAGCACTAGGAAGGTGTAGGCCATCTGGCCCCTCGAGCCTGCCCCGCCATTTAATAAGATCATGGCTGATCTTTTTGACACTTAGCTCCACTTACCTGCCCACTCACCATAACCCTTAATTCCTTTACTGTTCAAAAATTTATCTAGCCTTGCCTTAAAAACATTCGGCGAGGTAGCTTCAACCGCTTCACTGGGCAAGGAATTCCACAGATTCACAACCGTTTAGGTGAAGAAGTTTCTCCTGACCTCAGTCCTACATCTGCTTCCCTTTATTTTGAGGCGATGCCCTCTAGTCCTAGTTTCACCTGCTATCGGAAACAACCTCCCTGCCTCCACCTTATCTATTCCCTTCATAATCTCATATGTTTCTATAAGATCTCCCCTCATTCTTCTGAATTCCAATGAGTATAATCCCGGTCTACTCAGTCTCTCAAATGCTTTAACCACCCTATCTATATGTACCTGAACCCCTAGGTCTCTCTGTTCGCCAACACTTCCCAAGGCCCTACTTTTAATTGTGTAAGTCCTGCCCTTGTTGGTTTTACCAAAATGCGATACGTTGCATTTATCCAAATTAAACACCATCTGCCACTCTTCAGCCCAATGATCAAGATCTCATTGTAATTCTCCCTCCCCATCCCCTCCTGGTCCTCTCCCTTCCTCCCCAACTCTCAAATTGTCTCCCTCACACCCCCCTCCTCGTCCTCTCCACCCTCATCCTATTCCCGACTTCTTCTTGTGTTCTCCCAGGCCTGCTCTCTGCTATTACCTCGTGTCATCTTCCCCATCGTACTCTCTCCTGCTGTTGTCTCCCCCTTTCCATGTCAACAGTTCAACTCCCCGTCCCCATCCTGTTTCTTTCTTCTTTCACCCCCCCCTTCCGTAGTGACAATATGACAGGTTTGTGCTTCAGCAACGTCTGTGGGCTTTTATTAATTAAGAATCAGTTGAAAAATTGGGAGCAATAGTGTATATGACATTGTTTTCTGTTGATTAAATTATATTTCTGCTAAACCCGATATCCAAGCTTTCAGTCTTTTATTTTCCTTGTAGTCTCAGCATCAACACATGTAGAAAAGCTAAGATCCGGATAATATGTTAATACCATATACAAAAATAAATATTTTAAAAACAACCTCATTCTATATAGATGATACAGTTACAGGTAGAATTCAGTGTTTTGATTGCTAAAACTGGGTTGAAGGCATAACTTGACAATCTATATCTTTTATATAACTGTCTTCTTATGGGATTTTGCTGGTAGATAAAGATCATTATGCTATATTGTACATTGCAAAGTTGTAATTTCAGTTGGAATTTAGTGCATTGTTGTCATTGTCTGCTTTCCATTTTTCCACTGCCAGATTGTCACCATTGGTTGGCTCTGGCAATGTGGTGCAGCCAAAAGATGAGTAATGAATGCTTTGTCCTCTTATTTTTGTTTTGCTCAAAATTTACTTGACTTTTAAGTGGTAACCCTGCATAAAAATGGTACAACAGTCAACCTTGGTCTAGTTTCCTCAATTCCCAACAATAAATTTTACCTTAATAATTTGCTATATCTAAATAATTACATTTTCTGTACAAAAAATGCCCCAAGATGGTTTATAGAGAACTAGGGGGAGAAACATGAATGTTGAACCAAAGAAAATTAGGAAGGGCGGGCAGAAGTTCACTCAGGGGCTACTGCTATGAATTATTTTAAAGGACGGAATTCAGGGCTTGGGGCTTACATAGCTGAAGGCATGTCTCACAATTACTATTTGAAAGGGTGATGCACAAGAAACTGGAATTTGAACATGGACCTTGAGATGATCTAGAGTGTGCGAACGGTAATAGTGCAGAAAGATTTGAAATGAAAGACTAGGTCACGGAGTGATGTCAACAAAATTAGAATTTTAAAATTCAGGGTTTTGGGAACTGAGAGTCAGTGTAGATTTGCATAGATTGGGGTGAATAGAGAATGGCGCTCAGTATGGTTAGGATATGTGCAGTAGAGATTTGGATAACTGAAGTACATTGAGGTGGGGGTTGGAAGGCCACCAAGATTTTTCTGGTCAGGATAAAAATGGAGTGAAATAGAGGCAAGTCATGTTATGGAGTTAGAAGTTATGACAGCTCTTTGTGATGGACAGGGAGAGGGGTCAAAAACTCAGTTTTAACTGAAATAAAACATGCAATTCATAAAATCGGCCTTAATTCGCCAGTGACAGATTTTTGCTTGTCGTGGAATGTTTAGGAATTCAAGCTTAATTTTCTGGGTGTTGCTGTGAATAATAAAGGAAAAGGAAACAGCCGCATTAACAAGTGTGTAATTTCTTTTCATTTTCCTGTAAACCTTGTTGTTCATGAGGAAAGAAGACTGACAAAGGAGGGTAGTTTGAAACACAAACTTCCTTGAGGAAACCACCAGGAATATTTCCACGCTTTATGTACCGATATACTCCATGTGGACACAGTTGCATCGTGTGTGGACACAGTTGCATCGTGTATGTACATCTCTGGAGAACGAGTTTAGGAAAGACCAATCTCATTCCAACTCCTAATTTGACATTTGGATTTGGAGTCAAATCTAAAAAATGATTAGACTGAAAATTGTGCTGCCCAGCAAACTGCGGTATCTTCTGAGGAAGTGTCACTCGACCCAAGTCGTTAACTCTGATTTCTTTCCACAGATGCTGCCAGACCTGCTGAGCTTTTCCAGCAATTTCTGTTTTTTGTTTCTACGATACCTTATTTAAAGATGTTTTTATTAAATATTTCACTTCCAAGCATGTTCTATCAGAACTTGTTTTTTTTTTCAGATTTTTAACAAGGAGAGCTTTAGAGACAAAAGAAAAATGCTGCAGGTACTGATTTAAAATAAAAACAGAAAGTGCTGGAGAAACTTGGTTCTGGCGGCATCTGTGGGGAGAGAAACAAAGTTAGTGTTTTGAGGCTAAGATGACTTCTTCAGAACATGGAACTTAAGAACAATTGAGTATGGAGGTAACAAGCGTATATAAGAGATTCGGCAGTAGAAAGGCTGGAGTGGGGTTCCTAGTGAATGTTGTAGTGATGGATAGTATATGTGATTGAAAACATCACTCAGGGTTGAATGCAACAGAAAAATGCAAGCAATCTAATTAAGGCTAGGCAGTGGGGAATGGGATCAGTGGCAAAAAGAAGGTTGATTTTTTGACAGGAGCTGAAGAATGTGGATTTGCTGTTTCCTAGTACTGAGCTCTGATCATTTAAGATTCATCCACCACTTTGTGGGGGTTGGTTAACTCAGTTGTCTGGATGGCTGGTTTGTGCTGCAGAGTGACACCAACACCACAGGTTCAATTTCCACACTGCCTGAGCTCAACATGAAGGTCCCTCTTCCCTTGCCTGAGGCAATCAGGTTAAACCAACGCCAGTCATTTCTCTACCTAATGAGAGAGCAGCCTGTGGTCCTCTGGGACTATGGTGACTTTTACTTTGTATTGAAGTAATCTAGCAGTACTGAAGTTTGACAAATTGCAGAGGTAATGACCTTGGAGATAGAATAGGTTTGTTGATTGCATTAAGATACATAGAGGAATAATGGTAGGCTAGGACAACCCTATGGATCCGGACGACAGAAGATTAGCATAGAAGGCTGATGGCTTGATCATCAGTTGTACTGAATGCGGCAGAAAGAATGAGGAAGAAAAGGTGCACAGATGATATGATTTTGTTTGAAGATTTGCCTCAGGCTGTTTCCATATTGAGAGTTTGGAAAGGTGGATGTGAACATGAATCATGGAGATAAATTATAGTGCATCTTGCTGAGATCCACTAACTCAGCAGAATAGCATTTACTTACTAAGCTACTGGGCAAATTCATGATGTCTGCTTTGATTACATAAAAATGCTAGTATTTTAAATATAA